CTTAAGAGCTATTTTCACTACCTCTTTTGTGAGCTCTTTATAGCCTTAGCCTCTTTTCCACCTGAGTTATTGAGTAATTTTCTTAATAATTTCTAGGAGCACATTATGCATTTTGGAAATTAGCCTTTTGTCTGTAATATAAATTACCAATATTTTGCCCGAATTTATTTGTCTTTAATTTTTAATGTGGTTGGATTTGGGTGGTTCTACCATATAATAATTTTTTTTAAATTTTATTTTCAAATTGATCTGTTCTTCTGGGTTTTGTGTGCTTTTGCCTTCCTTGAGATTTAAGATTTTATTTCTGTTTTGTATTGGGTGTGTCTGGAATATATCCTAGTTCGTATGAAGCTCATCAGTTCCCCTTTAATTTGGTTCCCAAATGGCTACCAGGATGTCCCACAGCATCTTTTTTTCCACTGATTTAAAATGTCATCTTTATCATATTCTCAGTACCCAGGTGTTTAGTGTGTCTATGTTACTGGCTTCTCCATTATGGCCCATGGATTTATCTATTTACATTCCAGTACCTTAGTTTTAATTATTGTATCTTTATAATACACTTTTAAATCCTCTGGGGGTAGTCCTTCCTCACTCCTAGAATTTTTCTGGCTCTTCTTTGTTCTTTGTTTTTCAGTATTAACGTCTAGCTTCTCTAGTTCAGTGAAAAATTATTTTGTTATTTCTATTGTTATGGCCTTAAATTTAAAGATTAATTTAGGGGACATTGACTTTTTAATGCGGTCGTCACATCTTGTCATTCATGATCATGGTATACCCTTCTGTGTGTTGGGTTCTTTTATTTCCCTTGGTAGCATTTACATGTTTCCTTTATTTAGATCCTGCTACATTTCTTGTAAAATTTATTTCTACACTTTTCTTTATTGCTNTTACAAATAAAAATAGGGCTTTACATTCAGTTCCAAGTATTTTATTTGTATTATCTTTTTTTAAAATACAAAGCTTTTCTCTAAGCTCTTCAACTTCCTAGCCAGTAGTTATTCCACGTCTTTTAATAAAAATGTGCTTGATTTTATAGGAATTTTTCTGAGCAGAGTAGATATAATGATCACTTGTTTAGTCGTTTAACTATTTGAAATAGAATAAAAAATCCCTGACCAGGCAAAATAGATGATAAGAATCCTGTACACTGTAATCATAGGATAGTTCCTCAGGCCATGACTTGGATCTTAAATTCTCATTTAGACATAGTACTAACAAGCTTCGGTTTTAGTTTTTAAGGCCACAAATGATGAAAGGTAATGTGTGAAAGAGATAACGGAATAAAATTACGTTAAGAAAAACTATAGGAATCAGATGTTAACCGCACACACTTCTCAGTCTGGAGTGATTGCTCACTAATGACCCTGATGTTCCTCTGCCTTCACTGTAGTAATCCTTGGTCAAGTGTGGTTTTGGTACACCACCATTTCATGTGTGTATGCATGGCCTGGCTGTCCCTTCAACAAAACAACATGACAATTACTGCTTCCCTTTTTGTGGATCAGGTGGGCGGGTCTGAGAGCCCATTATGTTTGTTTCACCCTCTCAGTATGTGGGTAGATGACCAGGCTTCCAAAAGAGAGACCTTCACTTCCCAAATCATTCATTGTGTAGACCAGGCAGTTACACAAGCATTTTGCTGAGATGTTTGTGAAAATCAAACAGGAGAATATGAAAATTAAAAAGGCAGTCTTGAAAACACAGAACGTGGTGGACTGTACATAACATTAATTCTTTCAGTAGAATCTGTCTCAGCAGATCACAAAGTGTTTCCAGACCCCTGAAGGACAAGGACTGCCTATTGGAGCAGGTGTTTGAAGCAACACCCTGGTGTGAAAATGGGTATTTCTTAGAAAGGGAAAGCGAGCTTTTTCTGTAAAGCACCAGAGAGTAAATATTTCAGGCTTTGTGGACCATGTATGGTCTCTGTTGCAATATTCTTCTTTTTTTAGCAACCCTTTAAAAACTATTCTTGGCTCTTAGGCCATCCAGAAACAGACAGCAGGCAGGCTTTGACTCACAGGCCACAGTTTACCACCCTTCTAGAAGATTGAAACCTTGATCTTAACAACCATGATTTTTGCTAACCACAGAAATTTTCATAAATTTAATATCCTCATGGTTATCAAGAGAGAATATGCTTAATTTAAAAGGCAGAAAAGTTATAAGTCACTGCTCTGTCAAAGAAAAGGAAGAAAAAAAATGATGTTCATCTGTTGAGTCTGTGCAGGTTGATAATATTTCTTTAGAACATGTTGGAAATATGAATCAAAAGCTTTAAATAATTCACTTCCATTGACACTAATACATATCCACTGACCCAGCTTTGAGAAATTCATCTTAAGGAAATAATTAAAAATGTGTGTAAAAATAAATTTTCAAGGATTTTCGCTTATTTTTTTAATACTGTATATCAGTGTTTTTTAATAAAAGGAGAAAAACTAGAAACAATTTAAAATGTCCAATATTAAGTAACACTAATTAAGTTCACTATATAGAATGATTTTATTATACATAATTAAGTGAAAAAAGCAAATTTTAAACACCTGGAGCTATATGGCTATATCTATCCATATGTAAAATAATGTGTTAACATCAGTTGTTTCTGAATGGTGGGATTACAGATATCTTTTCAAGTTTTTTTTTTTAGATTAATTGTTTGTTTCTAACAAATGAACCTACATTGCTTTTGAGGAAAAAAGGAAGGGAAAGAATTTTTTCTAATCAAAACAATTTTTTTTAATAAATAAAACTTTTTCTTAACTCAGTACTTTGCTTCATATACCAAGTTTTTTGTTTGTGCCCATATTGAATATATATGACTAATTTTACTGTCTGACTTTTACTAATTTCTAAATTATTTCAGCTTTTTTTCTGTATCTTGACATCATTTGCAGTCAGTTGTCTTTTGGAGTGCCTGTGCCAATTTCCTTTTTCATTTTAGTATGTTTCTTAACTTTGGATGTGGAATTCAAATACATCTAGGTTCAAATTCCATGTGAACTTGAGCAATTTAATCCATCTACCTCACTTTCCACATCTCTGACATAAGGACAGTAGCCCAAGTTCATAATCCGGAGGTAATGATTAAAATTTTTTAAATGTTTGTCTAGTATTTAGCATGCGTTCAGAATTCAATCACCATTACCTCTAAATTATTGACATTAGTCTTTGAGCTTGATTTTCAGAGTTAATCCTAATGTTACTGTTTATAAATGTTAATGCGTATTGGATTTACCTAGTTCTGGTCTAGTCCTTCTCCCCATGAATTGTGAGAAAANGGGAATTTGGGGAGGGGAACAGACAAGTTGCTGTCCTTTTGTTCTTCAGTCTAGTTGTGGAGGACGTCGCTTCACTGGCCCATGTTGGTATCATTGCGCTCTTCCTGGGTGAGGCAGTCACTCGCTGGCCATTGGATGGCCACTCACGGCGGCTCTTGGCAGCTCACATTGGCTGCTGGCCGCTCATGGTAGCTTACGACAGCCCACTGCAGCAGGGGCTGCAGCCTAGCCATCACTGGCAACTGCAGCCCAGCTCCAGGTCAAGTTGTTGTTCACCATCTTAGCTGTAGAGGGCGCAGCATCACTGGCCCCATGTGGGATCCGAACCAGGGCCCTGCTGCTCAGAGCTGGCGTCCCAAGCCAACTCTTAACCAACGCGCCACTCGGTCGGCCCTCAAGTCTTTTATAACAGTTTCTTGTCCCTTTTTTTCCTTTTCGTTAATAAGTTGTCGTTTGCCCCGTAGAATTTCTGACAATCTGGATTTTACTGACTGTACCCTCTTTGTACCTTTAACATCTTACTCTGTCTCTGAATTTCCTGTAAAGCATTAATCTAGAGACTTGATGAAATTCATGTTTGAATTTTTTAATCAAGAAAAATGTGTGATTGATGCTGAATACTTCCTCTCCTCTCTTATCACATCAGGAGGCATATAATGTATAATTTCTCTGGTGTTAAGATGGATCCGTGGGTTTAGGAGTTGTTAGCGTGACCCTCCAGTTATAAAATTTATCATTAACCTAATGGTTTTTGCAGTAACTGATGACCACTACCTAAATCCTTATTTCACGGGGAGTTGCAAAGTGGAATATTTGAATCATATCTTTCTTTCTTCATGTATTACTTAGAAATCTATAATGAAAAAGAATTTAATCCTCCATTATCCAATTAACCTGAAATGCCTTTCATCTAGGTAAGATAAAAGGCAGGTTTTTAAAATAATAGGACAGTTCTCTGGCATCTTACAAAGGTGACCAATGAATTTTCTTTATTTTTGGTATCATTATGAATCCATGATTTAAAATGCTTTTCATGTATTTCAATACATTGCAGTATTTGATGCTCAAAACCTCCCGTCATAAGCTAGTGGGAGCCCCTCAAGTTGGCTACTCTGTCCATTTGGCCTGGCTCCTCATCATCATTGATGTGTTGTTCCACCATTGTCCGTTTCCTGCCCCAGACCTGAATTAGCTGTTCCTTTTAGGAGCACTGGTTGTTTTTTGTGGGAGATGGGATTTAGAAACCACAATCTGGACACCAGGGGTGCAGAGCAGGAACTCGGACCTGCCTGTCTGGATGTTGCCTTCATGCTCACACCAACACATATAGTCTCTGTCACATATAGGCTCCAAGTAGGGATGGGACTTCCCAGTGTGTGTGCCAGGGATTGGGGGTTCAGCGCATCTGAGAGCGGATTGTACTGTAATCTGTTCCCAATAGGGATGACAGAGGCCAGGGGAATGACAGGTGGGAAGAGACAAAGAGCCCAGGAAAGCATTAGTACCTTACTAATGGAAACAAAGACGATCATCCTTCTTAAGACTGGTTTGAATTTTCGTGTCACCTCCAGACCATTGTTAATGCACTAAAAACTGAGAATAAATAAATATTTCATCAAAGGAAAAAACAATCACGTAAATGATGTAGCATTCTAACATAACAAATGTAAAAAAGGCGGCCCTAATCTAATTTCTTTTTAATATATCTGCTTTTAGATATCTTTTGTTGCATTTATAACTGCTACGGAAATGCCACCTCTTCATCAACATGAAGAAGAAAGGTTCTTCTTAAATGCCAGAGGCCAGAAGGAAACTCTGCCCAGCATAAGGGACTCACCCACCAAGCAACTTTCTGTTGTCGTGCCTTCATACAATGAAGAAAAGCGGTGTAAGCCCTATTTGACTTTTTGGTAAGGGGTAGTTTGGGAAGAAAAGGAAATTTAAGGTATTGGATTTTACTGTCTTTGCCAGAACATTAGTATATGTGGGCTGGGGTGAGGATGTGGTTGGTAGTTGCAGTTTAAAGAGGGGAGATGAATATTTGCTCTAAGGCCGTGAGCAGCATTATGAAGTGTGGGACTGGTGTTCTAGAGGAGCGATGAGCATGATGTGAACAGAAGACAGAAGTTCCTAATGGGAATGGCCACTGGGGAACGTCCCAGAGGGGCTTCCTAGATTAGCCAGACTTTTGCCATGTGTAAACTGAATGTGCTAGGGCTTGATAAATCATTTTCTAATGCAATTTTTAATATACTTTTTTGTCTTTAAGTGCCTGTGATGATGGACGAAGCTCTGGGCTATCTAGAAGAGAGACAGGTATCATGTTTTCTCATTCTTATGGTGTCTCCAATTAAAACTAGACCAGGTCACCAACTGGTGGACCCCAGGCTAGATCCACTGTGAGGGGCAGTGGCGGCCATGCTTAGGCCATCATGATCACTGGGTTTCCCCATGCTCAGCTTGTTGCCAGGCAAGCCCAGCATGTAGCATGTGATAGATTTCTAGGAAATACATGAAGGAGGAATGATACGATTCGAACATTCCACTTGGTACATACCTCCAGAGACAGGTGGGTGACCCCAGAGCAAACGGAAAGCTGAAATTTCTCTTTTGTATCCTCCCACTCACTTTGTGTCCTCCCTTGCCTGATGATATACTTAAAATCGAGTGATAGAGCCACTGCAGGTTTTCTATGACAGCACAATGCTGTGTTTACTCTCGTAACTTTTTAAGAAACATGTTTATATGAAAGACTTATAATTAAGGTGAAATTATTTTGTATTTCTTTATTATTCCGAAGAGTTTTCCCTCATTTATATTCCTCTTTCCCTGCATAAAGAGAACAAAAGTAATATGTGCCCCTGTTTTGTAGCATCAGCTGCCGTTGGAATCTCTTTTAAGAGTAAGAAAACAAGCGTTGTGGCTGGTTCTTTTTAAAGAAAATTCCTTGGTTTCAGGTTTTTTGTGTAAAGGGAAGATAGAAGATTCATCAAAAGAGAGAGATCCCTATTACTTAAAAAATAAATTTAAAGAAAAGAGGAAGAGAATTGAGCCCTTATTATGATGAGGTTTCTTCCTCTTCTATTACATGGAATCTTCACACCAGCCACATAGACAAGGGTTTTTTGTTTTGAAGGAGAACACCGGCCAAAAATGTTAACTTGCCCAATGTCATAAGGCTAAGACGTGCATCCAGGTGGGGATCTGCACTCTTAACTTCAGACCTCATGGGCTTTTCCCTCATACGCCTGCTGGCCTCTCTCATGCTTAGCACAAGAACCTGGCTGTGTCACAGTGGGGTCAGGGTGGGCGAGGGCAAGAGTGGGACGCTCACAGAGATTTAGTCAGCGTCCGCCCTCTCCTCCTGCCCCGGGTCTCCTTCTGTTTGTTGGCCTTTTTATTCTATGTGGTTTGCGCGCTTCTTTATATTCATAGTTATACACATCCATACTAAAACAATTAGTTTTTAAATTTCTTGCAGTTTTATTAGAATTCTTGATGACAGTTATGCCAAATTGTGCTATTTTATTTTTGCTTCTTGCAGAAACAAGATCCTACATTCACTTATGAGGTGATAGTAGTTGACGATGGCAGCAAAGACCAGACTTCGAAGGTAAGTAAACTTGCTTTCAGAATTGCCATTAGATTTAGAAAATATAAAACAATTTAGCAATTGTAAAATCTTATTTCCACTCATCAGAGAACCCTAAAGCTTTGCTAAATAGTCTCCATTGTTGTTGTGTAGGTAGTAAAAGAAGCAGAGAGATTTCATTTATGGAAAGCTGGAAAATATACCTGCTGTTCCACTGTTCCGTAAGACCAGGGAAGCTTTGAAGATCATCAGATCAGGACAGAACGTGCACACAACAGTTGAACTTGGCCACTGGGGAATCCTCTTTGTCTATTAATTTAAGGTTCCTTTTTCTCTAAGCATGATTCTATTCTTTATGTATACTTTGCCTGACAGTTTCTAAACCAGCCGTGCAAATAGGAAGATGCCTTCATATTGCCCCTGGGTGTTAGGTGTGTCCTTGGACATAACCCCATCAGGCTTACCTGTGGGAGGTAACAGTGTCCTAGAGTCTTATGTACTCTCATTCCTCCATTCCTAGACCTGTGACTGCTGGACCCAGGGGCACTAATTCTTATAGTGGTGCATTTATTAAATCTTGCCAGTGATCCTGATAAGTTACTCTCCAAACATTTAAATGTTTTTATTATTAAGGAGGCTTCACAGTTTCTTATTTGACACTCATATTTCTATAGTAAAAAACCTCATTAATTCATATTCTTGTTAAATAGTAACTTTTTGAACCTTAAACACACAGGAAACATCTATTTACTTGATTATTCATCAGTAATGATTTTGTTAAGTACCAACTATGCATAAAGTGCTAGACACTGGACAGAATGTACTAGTCCCTGAGCTTGCCCCTTTGTGTAAGCACCACCCAGGACAGTC